AGGTATAAATGGAGTTAAAAGTTCAGCTTTAAACTGAAACCAGAATATGCCACTTTCTATTTGCTCACATCTTAAAGATTAAATGATTAAAGACGCCATAACAATCTGAGTAATGTTTCTTCACACGGATATTTGTGCACTTTCTTGCTGGAGCAGCTACTTTCACATTACTATAAATGTGTGTGACGCAAGAAGGAGGTCAAATGACTTCATGTGATTCAGCAGCAACACAAAACGAGTTGAAAAGATTAATTCTTCTAACACATAAAGCAACTTGAAATGATCCAGTTCATTTGAAAATGTCTGGAAATGTAAAAAAAAAAATGTCTGGTTTTATAAACGAATGGGAAGAATGACCTTAATTGCAATGTGTGATTCTTGTTTGTGCCTTCTGCGGTTTGAAATGAAGCTGCTTGTGCATATTTTCTGCCTTTTGGCACACAGTCTGTAAACATTTCCTGTAAGCATCTTTGTTCAAGGGGACTTTCCATCTGATCTTCCTGTATAAAACAAAAAGCTTTTGGTCTGCGGGAATCCTACATCTCCTGATTTTGGATCAGTAATAAACCTAACATTTCATTTTTGTTTTTAATCATTTTTTCTTTACTTGATGTGGATTTATTGTGGTATTTAATTCAAATTGAGTTTACTCTCACCAATAAAGATGACGACACCTGCACTCTTTTGTCCTCTAATTTAAATTACCGTATTTTCCGGGGTATAAGTCGCAGCTTTTTGCAAAGATTTGTCCATCCTGCAACCTATACGCCGAAGCAACTTATTTACATTTTTTTCCATATTCATAACACAATTTTTGACTGATGCTTTAAATTTCTAAGAACTGCAATGGCAAGTCCTCCCCGTGCGTACTCTCTTCACTCAGCTGGTGCAGGCGGAGGAACGCTGGAGAGCTCGCAGCAGCGATGGATGGATGGATGGATGGATGGATGGATGGATGGATGGATGGATGGATGGATGTGTTGCAACGGGAGCTGGATGCGGGCCCCAAGCTACTGCAGCTAACTGTGGGCCTCAGGCCTCATCGGACCCCAGGTCTGCCTCCAGCTCACGCCGTCCCCCTGGCTCGGACCTCCCTCAGAAGTGGCAACTCGCACTATCAATAAATCAAGGGAACGTGAATACGGTTTTACTAATTGCATTAAAATCAAGGCAGGAGAAGGTTACAGTTTACAGCGCTGGCCAGTCCGGTCTACGACACAAGATCAGGAACCGAAAGGGCCGGATGTCCCGTGTCATTACAGATTTATTGGCCCTAGACTCCTCCTTTGCAGAAGGGGAGCACGGGCTATCAATGTATGAGGGGGAGGGACTAAATGTGGTCTCTTTTGGACCTTCTGTGAGTTGGCGGGAAAGGAAAAATAAGACGGTGGATAAAAAGCCTTTCTTCGTGATGAGTGAGCAAATAAAGAAATAATAATAATAATAATAATGTCATCACAATATGTTTCCATACAATGGCAAAATTAGTCTCTGCATTTAACCCATCCACCACCAGGTGGTGCAGTGGGCAGCTATTGAAAGCGCCCGGGGGACATTTTTGGGGATTAGACGTGCTGCCCAGAGACGCCACGTGATGTGCAGTGACTGGGGATCGAACCTGGGACTCTCGGGTCCCAGGCCGGCTGCCCTGCCTCTACACCATCTCGGCCCCTTAATAACAAATAAATAAAAACTCTATTCCTTGACGGATATTGAATCCCTGGGAGACTCTTTTTAGAGTTGCTGGACCCGTTTAAACCAGTCAGAACCAGGTCATAATTTCATTATAATCCCGTCTCTGAGCAGATCAAAACCCCAGGGTCAGTCTAGATCGGGGTGCCCAAAGTGGGGCCCGTGGGCCAAAATTGGCTCACCGAGCTGTCCTCATCACTATATTAACATTTCCTTTGAAAAATCAATGTACAATGTATACTCATCGACTCCACCCATTGACTTTATTGTTATTCGGTCTGACTACCATAATTTAATGCACAGATTACACAGGAAAGGAGATAATTTATGTATTTTTAAAATAATTTTTATATTTTATTTTGACAGACTTTCTACCATCCCTCGACAGCTTCCTTCCACTGAATAACTTTTTCTTTTGACAGAATACGCTTAAAAATCACACAATGTTTAAAAGTAAATTATAAATATGAACTGGTTTCAGTGGTGATTTTAGCCTCTTTACATTTAACTCAGCACCTCTGAAAAATAAAGTAACCATCATTAGGACTGTGTAAGGAAACAGTTCACAAACCTTAGAATCACCAAAAATATTGAATAAATATTAAATAAATGACGACGGTCACAAAAAGATCAATAAAATCTGATTTTTTTTTCACAAGGCCCGCCACCTGTCAATCACTCCAGTAGGCACATCAGCAACTGACCAATCAGCAACTGCCATTTGTCCTGAAGTGAACACCTTCACAGAGATTTCAGAGTTTACATCTTTTGTTTCTTGTTACTCTACTGTAATAAACCTTTGTAAAATACACCAAAATGCATTAAATGGCATCTACTTTAATCAAAATTCTCTGGGGGGGGACCCCCAGACGCCCCGCCCCCACCACCACCAACACAGTCTGTTCTGTAATGTTCTTTATACAGAATTGAAGGCTAAATAACTGTATAATAAATAAATGGACTTTACTTAAAGAAGTATTTGCATTTCATGTATTATATTATTGCGTTTGGCCCGCAGCCCTCTGATGGATTTTAAATTTGGCCCGCTCAGAGAAAAAGTTTGGGTACCCCTGGTCTAGATAAAATACTAACAGATGACTGGATGGATGGCGTCGTGACACCCGGCGAAATGAAGCTGTTTTAAGCATTAAATAAACGCATAATAAACGTGACGGGTCAGCGGTGACGCATAATAAATGTGACTTTTATATGTTTTTTTTTCCTCTTCATGATGCTTTTTTTGACTGATGCAACTTAAACTCTGGAGTGACTTATACACCGGAAAATACGGTAACACCTTGTACAAATGTTGCTTTATCATAAAACAGAGCACAATCTCTGTAGAGTTTGATCACTTTTTTAATACTTTAATTTGCCTTTTTATCATATAAGTCTCTTTTCTTGTTATTGCTGACCTCACTTTTAGATTTCCTGGAGATAAAATAACAAATGATCTGAACATTTTCTGCTTCTTCTTTATAGTTTTCTGTCTGATTTGTTGTTGTTTTTATCTTCAGGAACGCTGATCAGATGATTAGACGAGCTCCCGACTGCTGAATGTCGGGACAAGAATTGAAGAAACGTGCATCTTTGGTAAAAGTTATCAAAGAATTTCAAACTTTTTCACAATATTTTCTCTGAAACACATTAAAAACAGAGTTAGCTTAAAATAATAGAAAATAAACATGACTATTAAATGCAGCACTGGTAAAGCTGCGCTATATTGCCACTTTAAATCAGTCATTTAATCCCACTTTAAAATAAAACACAGAAAATTTGAATGTTTCTTAAAAGAGAAATGCTTTTCTGAAAGAAGAGTAAAAACAGCAAAATGAGAACTGATTGTTTTTCAAAAGAGAGCCATTCTGGAGTAAAATATTTAGGAATTAGTTTTGTTCTCTTGCTGTCTTGTCACTGAAGAATAAAGCTTTAATTTTGAATTATGTTAATAGCACAAAAGACTCATCTGTTATCCCAAAAGTAAAAATAAAGAAATAATTACAACATGACAAGAAATGCATTTTTTTGGACAATAGAGATAATTTAGTTTACTTTAATTTATTTGGATTTTTTGTTTGTTTGTTTGTTTGTTTGTTTGTTTGTTTGTTTGTTTTAAACCCAAATAAAACCACAGATTAACAGCTGTCTGATTTAAAAAATAAATCCAGAACTAAACCAACAAAAGATCCTGCAGTAGTTATTACAAATTAGTCAAAAATAAATGTACAAAAAGTTGTTTTTTGTCTCCAAATGTACACTTTGGATTCATGCACACTACAGGTTTACATTTTGAAGCTCCATTTATATCTTTATGAGGACCAAAAGGATGCATTTATGTTCCCAAGAAGTTAAAGATCAAAATGCAGCATGCACTCAGAGGACTGGTTTGTGTTTGGAGCTATTTGTGTCCTCTTTAAGAGCTGTGTTGGTGATCTCCATTTTGTTTAAAAGCCGAAGAAAATGGTGAAATAACAAATGTTTCTACTTGAGGTGCCATCCCAGTTAGAGGACTAGTTCCCCTAAAACCACAACTGGGTGCTTGTTTCTCTGTTTACAAAAAGCCATTTGGAGTAATAGTTTTAAGGATTAAGTCTAATTCTGTTCGCACTTCCCTGCACGTGAGAAAAATCTTTAGTCTGCATCCTCAGACGAAGATGCACAGAGAGGAGGAAAAGTGTGTCACTGCTGGCCTGAAGGCCTGCGCTCATCTTTTACTGTGCGTGATGAAATAAATTCAGCGTACGATCACTGCACCATGATGACTCATGAATTTAAAAGCAGCGTCCCATTCCATTTCGTGGCAGTCAGATGAAAGTGTGAACAAACTGTAAACTTTTCATCTCTGCGTGATTTGGGAGCATCATGCAGTGAGAACGTGGAGCACAGACCCTCAGCCCCCTCTGAATATATTGCGCTTTCTGCTGCCCCCTGCTGGTTCTCAGCTGTTGCTGTTAGTGTTACGCAGGAAAGCCCTCTAATCTCCTTACTGCAGCAGCCCTGTGCGCGCGCACGGACACGGCCTGGTTGAATGTGGCGTTAAATAAGCTTTTTGGTATTTTTAGCACAAAATGTAAAATTTAAAAAAAACCTCACTACTGGGATAAACTGAATAGGTTGTGTAAAAGCAGCGCTTGGAGCCTCTCTGGTGCGTCTTTACGCACGGATCCAAAACACCCACTGAAGAAGCCGATTGGCTGCTAAAGATACCACCGGCTCAGCTCGCTCTGTGGTTGGCTGCGGCTCTTCTGGCCCTTGTTAACGCCACGCACGCTCACACACATGCACACACGGGCAGCCGAAGAGAGGGAAGACGTAATGGTTTGATTCCCTGTGCACTTGCAATGGTCGTCGCTCGGACGTTATTCGTCAGATTCCTCTAACGGGAGGAGAGATGAAGGTTTGTGCTTCTGTTTAAATGCTTGTATTGTTTGGATTAAAGTGTTTTCTTGAAGGTATGCGCACGAGGCTGCAGGGATGTGCAGGGGATACCCTTCTTAATGTAAATTCAGAGCAATTTGTCCTTTTCGGTGCATCAACAGGCTAAATCCCTTACAGTTCGCGTTTTTCATCTGGGTCAGTTTCCATTCCGGGGCTGTTTTATCTGTTTTTATTTATCATCTGGAGTCTGGAGACTCTTCCTGGTCATGTCCAGCCCTGTTGATGAGCAGTAGGTACACTGTGTAGCCCTGTAATGAGCCTGCGTTGACCCCGGTGTGATAGTTTATTGGACTAAAGCCTCGCAGCGCCGTCCACTCGCTGTCAGGCTCTAATCCTCTCTAACCGGATAGAAAGCTGCGCTCAGTCGGAGCCGGGGATGTTTGGGTCCGGATCTGGACACAGGACACGGGTCATCCCCGAGCAGGACTCCAGGACACCCTCTCCTCTTGTCCTCCTCTGTGGAGTGTTTGTTTGGAGCAGAGATGCTGCAGCTGCATGAAGGGAAAAGGTGAGGATGCTGAGGAGCTCCGTGCTGATGATGAGCGATGAGGATGATGTCATGCTGCTGGATGCTGGAGGCAGTGCTGGTGACAGACACAGAGCAGTGTCCCCCTCCACCCCCACCCCCCATGCTAATGGTCAGCAGTGATATCAGTGAGAACACGGTGTGAAAACCAGTTTATCACCTGCAGCAGCCATGGTGCTGAGTGAGAGGACCTGCTGAAATCCACCTGCTTCTCTTTGCTGCTCAGCTTCGAAAGTTTTATTGGTCCATGAGTTCACTGCATGTTCACTAAACTGTTTGGGGCGTTCACAACTTTTAGAACGTAGATCCTTTACATTCAGCTGTGACTGATTTTTACCAACTTTTTATTTAAGTTACAGAAAAACTGATGAAATCACCAAACAGAAACAACATGGTGGTTTGATCAATGAGAGCTGAATGAGCTTGATGAAATTTGTCAAAGAAGCTGCACTGAGTTGTTGAAGCTAAAACAGAATTAAAATACGAAAAACTAAAGAAAATCATAAAATAGCTGAAAGTATTGAAAGACTATAAACTAGTTGCAAAAATCTGTCTAAAAGCTAAATGTAGCAATAGGGTTGCTAAAGTAGCAAAAAGGTGGCTAAAAGCTAAATGTAGCAAATGGACTGCTAGAAGCTAAATGTAGCTAAAAGGTGGCTATAAGCTTTATGTAGCAATAGGATTGCTAGAAGCTAAAAGTAGCAGATATGGCTAAAAGATAAATGTAGCAATAGGATTAGAAGCTAAAAGTAGCAAAAAGGTGGCCTAAAAGCTAAATGTAGCAAATGGATTGCTAGAAGCTAAATGTAACAAAGAAGTGGCTAAAACATAAACACAGCAACGTCTCAAAGTAGTAGCTACAAGGTAAGTGTAGCAAAAGAAAAACTAAAAGCTAAACATTGCTACATCTTAACGAAAAGCAGCAAAAGGCAGGTAAAGGTAGCAAAAGCATAGTTAAAAGCTAAAAGAAGCTAAAGTGTTACTTAAAGTAACAAAGGGCTATCTAAAAGTGTTAAATGATTAGTTTGAAACTAAAATGAGCAAAAAAAACTGCCTAAAAGATAAATTCAGCAAAAGGCAAGGTACAAATTTCACACTTAGCTAAAAGATAAATGTAGCAAAAAATATTGCTAACAGTAGCAAAAAGGCTCAAAGTAGCAAACAGCTAGTTAAAAGTATTAGAAGATTAGCTAGAAACTAAAAGCACAAGAAAACATGTTATTGCAAAATGTAGCAAGGTTAGCTACAAGCTAAAAGTAGCAGTAGCTAAAAACTATAAAATAAGTTTAGGAAGACAAAAACAGAACAATGCTGAATCAGATTTTTAAACTGAACTTTGTTGTGAATGAATTGAAATCTCATTGTATTTGTGTGAAGAAATATTTGTCAATAAAGTTAAATATCTCAAAAAATATTTAAAACAATTTAAAAAAAATAAAAAAGTCATAGCACCAATTTCTGTATGAGCAGAAGGCATGTGTGGAAGTTTAAATTAGCACATATGCAGTTCAATTGCAACAAAGTACTAAGGAAAAAAAATGAAAATAGTGTTAGTATAACATTAAGTTGGAGGCACAGGAACCATTTGATCATTACAATGTTATTAAGTCAATAAACTGTGAAAATAATGTCACAAACAGCCTTAATGATCATCGTTTTATTCATTTATTATAGGTGTTGTTTTTAAAAGGGCCACAAACAATAATTTTTCATTTTATTCATTATAAGTTCATCTCAACCCTTTGTTAAGTTTCAATACTATTACTGCAGTAAATGAGTAAAGTGTACAAGTTACATATTTTTTGACGTTCTTAGTATTTTTCATTTGTTTCTAAATGTGAAACAAAAGTTGGAGGGTTTTTTTTTATTATTAGAAATCTTATTAGAAAATTGTGAAGTCAGAACAATTTGAGAAGTTGCATTTTCTGTCCAGAAAACTCAGTTTAGGAAGTTAAAATGTTTTTACGCTCCATATTCAGCTAGCATCAGCTGATCGCAGTACTACCTGTGCAAACTTCGGCGCTTTCAGCAGAAACCTCATAATATTTCTGTCAGAATAACCAGTTGAACTCTATTCCTCCAAAATGAGGTGGTTCAAAGAGCTATCTGCAACAGGTAAGATATGCATTGTTCATAACCTTTCCATAGCAACCTTTTGGAAATGGTGTGAAGTAGCCCTTTAAGAGATGTGGCAACACAACAGAGCATCAGAACTCTTCAGGGCTATTAATTTTAGATTTTTTCAGATATTATTAAATCCTTTCCATAGCTGTTAATCACAAAACTGCAGAAGATAAGAGAACAGAAGGCTTTACTCTGTGAAGTTAATGTTCCCATGGCACATTGTCACTCATTTTGTTCCAAGGAAACAAAATGGATGTTTTTGTTTTATTGACTAATCTGGTTTAAATTGAAAAGCTGCTTTTCTGTCCCTGTGGGAGGGGGCCGCGTTTTCTTTAGCAGCAGGCACGTCATGCTGGGGAAGGCTGTTGATGATCAAGGCTGTTTGACTGGATTCATACAGTTTCAGTGAATATTTATCTGAAAACGTCGATTCAGGATTCATTCTGTTGTTTTCCTGGTTTTGCTTATGTTGTTTTACAACCTAAATGTTTCTGGATAACAAAGTCCATGCTCAATAATCCAGGTATACAATCCAACATTTTTCAGTCAGGTCATCTGGACCGTTTCTTTTTGTGTGCTGAAACGATTCGCCTTTGATCCGGAAGGCTTCATC